TCTTGATAATCAGTCAAGTAAAACTCAAAAGCACTTTGGCAATACCACTATAACCCTGACATTAAGGTTCATGTTTACTGAGTATACTTAGTCTACAGTCGTTACACCTCTCACTTCCTTCCCATAGCTCTTGAAAACATTGTGCCTTAAGTACTATAACTGCTGGAATCAGCAGATAGAGTCTGATACTGATTATAATTCAGTACCAGGAATTCAGATATTCTTCTCTGGAAAAATCTCCCCTTTTCAAACTCTTTAGTTCCATTGCTTATAGACAACTCTCTTTAAGAAGATGTAAGATTTAAGAAAATGTAATTTAAAAGTATTCATACTGAAACATGCACCATTCTGGGGAGCTTCTGACATTGCTTCTTGTTATTAAAAGTTCATAACAGTCAATGTAGCTAATCATCTACGGGTGAAACCAAGGGCAAGATATTGCTTTTTGGTTTTATGGTCTGTTTTGACATGCAAACTACAGTTATAAATAGAATTGGTCAGAAAAATAGTGACAAAGACAACATTAAAAAAAAACCCAACTGGAAATGAAGCAGGAACATTCTGAGGATTTTTTTTCCAGTTTTCTGTCCAACTATAATTGCCACATAGGACCGTCTGAGGATAAATGCCAGTGTTATTTCCTTTTTTAAGGACAAGAAAAAATGAGAATGTTTGGATCTATACCACTGTGGAATAAATGTGCGCAAATACTAACATATAACGGTGTCCATTCTACAGTCAGTGTAACTGTTGTCCCTAGCAAAACTATCTAGCAAAAAGAAACCAACAAAATGCTACAAAACTTGTCATTCTTCATAGGAGAAGGAAGGAGCTGTATGCAGTTTTTTACATCCTGTCCCAACCTGATATGACAGTTTATAAGGAGAGTGTTATTTGAAAATAATTTAACAGCTAAATTAAAGTCAGAGAAGATTTTTCAAATGGAAAAGCAATTAAAAGGGCCAAATCTATGTAAAAATCTACTGGAACACAGCCCAAATTCAAAGAACTTCTGCCTTATTTCCTACTGCCACAAAAGCATTCGGGGAAGAGAAGGGACTCATTGAATATATCCTAAAGAGAGCCCTTTTTTTCTCCCTTCAAGGATGAAAAGTGGAACAAGACCACAATTTAGCTTGCAAAAAGACAAAAAGCTTGTGGCTTTTTCATATCTACATCTGAGCATGACGTGAAAAGAGAATCTCTGGAAGGCTCTGGAAGGCCAAAGCTGAAAAAGTCAGTGCATGCTGCTCCCTTGTGCAGTTAAGTCCTATGTGTCACTGCAACAAGTTAAATCAAAACCCAAATACTTCCACAGCATTGCTATGATGAGGAGCAAACATCTTTTCCTCAGGTATGTTTGAGAGGCCAAAGAATGTTAATTTCAGATGGAAAGAAATGTTTCAGCCCATTACTGAGAGTAAAAAAAATCACCAAATGTTAAAAAAATATAACATATTCCATCTTTTTCATGTAGGGATTTTTTTTCTCTTGGAAACACTTCACATGTGCAAACTGGTGGAGGCACCTGAATGCTAGTGGAATTATGCTACTGAGGCTGAAGTGCTCTATCTATATGGTCCCCTGATAGGCTATGCTCTACCTATCTCAGCCACCCAGACTGGAGACTTTGCTTAAGGACCTGAGAGAGCATGAGTTATACGTTTTGTACTAGCCTTTCATGGGCAGACTTTTTCCAAGAGAAGGCCTGTACTGCAAGGCATCCCCAAAGCTGATTAAAACCATTTATAAGAAAACAGCAAACATGGGTTTACACATTTAATGAAAGAATGTATTGCTTTATACTTTTTGACCTTAGATAAATATAAACCTTGTTAGATTTGCAACCTAAATCTGCAAGGGGCAATTGCGAGGGCCAGTTATTGTGCTCCCTTGACTTTTCATCCTCATTAGCAGTTTTACTGACTGTAGGACATTTTTCATACCATGACTGTTTTCCCTGACAATATGAGTTGTCTTTTTTCCAAACACAGCACCTCAACTTTTTCTCCTACATTTTTTTTTCTGCGAACAGCTTCCCACTTTCCTTATCTTGAAACATTGCACCCTCCTGCCTCAGCTGCAGATAATTTTTGTCAGATTATATTGTTATGGGAAATGACAGGGACTCCCTGCACCTTGGCAGTCATTAAGATCAAATCTTTCTGTTTTGCTAGTGGAAGTGTTAGTACTGGACCTTGGTTTTGCAGTCCTTGACTTTCTTTTTCAGCTAGCCATATCCCAGCTTTGAAGCTGGATGTTTTAATATGCTATTTGTATTTTGGTATTGCTCAGAAGTCTCAACCCCAGATATTTTGTGGCACAGTTTTTTCAAAATTTAGCATAATCTTATGGGCACATTTTACTTTATAATTTAGCCACTTGTAAAGAACATAATGATAATAATAACATACTTTCATTACTAACTTTATTCATGACCTCATTCCTGAATCCTTATCACTAGTTATTTTGTTATGAAATGCCAACTTTATGACAATAAGGGGGGAAATTATGTATTATTATTAAAAATCATGTGCAAAAGGAATAACCCAAGTAACAAAAATGAGAGTTGTCTTGACCAAAGACAAAAACTGCATCACAGTTCTTAGGAAAGACAACTTGTTGAACAGTAAGTTTGCCTACCATTAGGACCCCAAAGTGCGTGAGGTGGTTGCATAAGCAAACTGTCTTGTTTTCATTGGACTCTGGGTCCACTTGGCAGCCTGCAGGGTTCCAGCCACCATTGCCACCTGTGGAAACAAAACAGGAGAAACCGTACTTTCCAACAAACTCATGTCACCATCTCTTTTAACAGATTTCTCACTTTCTCTTGCACAAATGCAAAGTGCTTTCTCAAATTAAATGAATGAATATTAAAAACAATCTGGAAAGAAGCACATGTCAGATTTCCTAGTTCCTGCAGAGAATCACACCAGACAAGTGTCCCAGTAATGGACTTACTGAGCAGAAGCAATAGACGGAGATCTATGAAAAAGGTAGGGAGCTTTTTGTTCCATGAGGGATGAATAAGATCTCCTATGTGGATCATGCATTAAGACATACCTTAGTTTTACCTAACAATAAGATGCTTTCAGAACTCCCTTTTACAACACTGATGTGATGCCTTCCTCCTATTCATAGATCCCCAGGTACCTGAACACATTTATGGCCCAGAAGCAGAGGGTGCTGCCCTTCCCCTTTGCAGCATGTAATGCAGAAGGTCAGAGTGAATAATTCCAATTATTCTTTGTGGCCTTAAGAAAAAACATGAAGTAAACTATCACCTACCCACCTCACCCTGAAAAGGCCATTCTGAAAAATAAGTAGAAAGATTTTATTAAAAAAAAGCTAAAAAGTAAAATTTGTATTTCTGATTACTTTAGTAATAGTTCATGTTCTCTGAACCCTTAAAGACATTTTTGCACAACTCCAGGCAAAATCCAGCAAATTATCTGACTGACCCTATAACTTTACCTCAAATTCAAGACAGAATCTCTCAAAAGACTGTGAAGGACTGTGAAGATGTTCCAAAACCACTTTAAACTCTCCCCTGCTTGAGTAACCACTGAGAATAGTTTCCTCCCTGTGTGTTTCTGCTTTGATGTGCTTCTTAAGTTTAGCTTCCCAACTAGGTTCTTTTTTTTTTTTTTTCTTTTTTTCATCTTTCTGCATTCTTCCCAGTTCTTCTGTCTGAATTTCCTGCTTTCAGCTACAACTTTGGATGGTAAACTTTATTTCTTGCAAGACTCTCTGTACTAAATCACTCCACCTCAAATCCTACTGCTAAGCACATTTACTTATTTGCTTTTTCTCTGTTTCATGATGAAGAGAAGTAACATCTCAGTCGTGATCTCTGAAATAAAAGAATCTGGAAAGTCACCCCACAGAATGGCTTCATCTTCATTTTTCATGGGGAAAAAAGGAAAACTAGGGAAAACGTG